GAGAAGGAATCTGGAGTTAAGAGGTAGGAGAGTATGATATGGCGACAAAGTGATAGATAAACTTTTACATAGTTTGCATTTCCAAAGCATACAAGTAGAACTTGACCTTCAAGAGCTGGGTGCTGACACCACAAGAATTTGACTTACTTATGAAAAATCAGTAGGAACACACCATCATTTCCCCCAAAGCAGAGGCTGGCTAAAAAGTTGTAGACTTACAACAGTACTAAGTTAGTATCAGAAGTCTACTCAGTGTACTTAGCCACAGTCCTGCTGACTGCTAATAATCACAAATTTGATAGAATTTCTGCTCAATTTCCTTTTTTTGATTTTTTTTTTTTAATTTTTTTTTTAAAGCACATGCATGCACATACACAAGCTATGTTAAAGAAACAGTACTGCAGTTGCAAAGTTAAGATTTGGGGAAAAAGTAGGCAGTGCTGAAGTTGAGTTTCAATTTTGTAGATTATATTAAAATTATGTGCCAGCACAGTTTTAATTACTGCTATTTTAATTACCTTACCATGTGATACTGCCACGAAATTCCTGCCTTATTTAATACCTCTGATGGACTTATACCAGAGTGGACTAAGACTGTGTAACAAGACTGTCTTAATCTGGCAGATGACTGGAATATGAAAAAAAGGTCATATTATGGTGAGAGTGGTGGTTTGTCATCTTCAGGAAAGGATTTTGATCCTTAACTTGGAATACCCATGGAAGAACAGATAAGTGACTTAAACTTTGCACTGCTCTATATGGTTAATTATTTTCTCACTTTCACTGTCTTGGAGATCACAAGCAGTAACAGCAGCCAACAGTATCTAACTTGTATATTACATGCTTTGCAAAACTTACACAAACAATATAACAGTTTTTTCAGGTTTTCTTCTCAGCCTTATGAAATTAGTGCTCTTATGAATGTGAACTCTGCTATAGTCTCTCTCTGTTTTTTTCCCTGTAAAATGAGGATATATTGCCTCTTTGATACAATAACGTGAACACTTGGGAAAAGTTAAATGTCCTTGTGTTAACTTCAGTGACACAAGAAGCTGATAATTGTTTAATAGTATAGTCCAAAGTGTGCAGTGGAGGAGGCCACAAACCTACTCATTGGGCAGAAGAGAGGAAAATGGTATAAAAAGGCTGCACATTCACTAAACAACTTGCATCCCTTTTTTTTTCCTGAATGAGGCAACAATCTTACAAAGGACATTAGTGTATTTAAAGACTTCATCATAGACCCTGCGTCCACAGATCACCCAATGTATCAAATAAATTGTAGCAGCCCTACTTCATCAGTCGTGATAGCATTAGTTACTCTGGCTTTTGATGTTTTCCTTTTCAAATTCTCAAGGTCAGTTTTGAAAGGTTAATTTAAATGGGCAAAAATATTGCTAGCAGTTAAATGACTTGTTTGTATGTTGCAATGAATGGCTTTTACTTAATGCTTTTCAGTTGCACTTGTCTTACGTTTTTCTGTTTTTACATGCTTAGCACACCCAGTTTAGGGAGTCTAGGAGTCTGTTTGATGAAATATTCCTCAGTCGTCCAGAGGTATGGTATAGTTCTCTCTAGTTTAGACTTTAACTATGAATTTTCCTGCAGGCAAACAAATGCTTCTGGGGTTTACTGTGCCTTTTTTCCCCCTACCATTAACTTCTCTGTGTTGTTTTGTATGCTAAAGGTATCATTTATGGGTTTTATTAAGTAATTTGACCTTTTCCTCAGAAATTTTTCCTCTGTAAATCCACTGCATTGAGAAGAATATATCAGTTTAGTTATCTAAGGAGTTCCTGAAAACTCAGGTTCTTTACTTGATTAAAGGTAGTTGTCTCACTGTATGGCATGCTGGGTTTCAGTTTGAAAGAAGTATTAAAGCACTGGGGAGGGGGGAAACAGTCCTGTTTTTGCAAAATACTACAGATAGCATTGCAGTTTCAGAGACGTTAATAAGTTCGACTTGAATAGATGCTGTGTATCATTTGATGTCACTTTGCTTAGAGAAATTACTGTGTGACGTGCCATTTATGTTGATAATATATTTTGCTGCTTAGTTGTTTCTTTGGTCATAGGAACAGTAAGTTTCTGTTTTTACAGATCTCAGCATATTTAGCAAACAAGAAATCTTATCCATGATCCTTAACTTGGCTAAATTTGTCAAAAATCAATATGAGATACTGAAACAGTATTATTTATATTATGGATTTGTGTGTGTTATGTGAGATTCTTCTTATTAAAAGAAAAAATAAGTATATAAATAAAATATATAATTATTCTCATTAATAAAAATGTCAATATCTAACAGAAGTATTGCTATGAACTTTTGTTTAGTTATAAGCATTGGCAAAGAGGACAGTCATTCTGCATTGTCTCTTTTCATTCCTCAGTGAATGGTGGCAAACAATCATATTTTGAGGAAGACTGGGGCAGTTGACACCAACTAGATGAAACGAGAGCACTGTGAAAGACAGTCAATGTTAGTGACACTTGAGCCATGGCCAGTTAGTGTCTTACATCTGCAGGACTGATCATAAAACCACATAAAACTAAATGATGTAGATACAGGGTGAAAGTGATTTAAATGCAGGAAACTCTTTCATTTCTTAAACATTCTGATAATTTTCATATTCCAACTTTTGTAGACAGTGAATAGAGCTTGGTTTAATATAATCCCCTTTTGACATGGAGTGTGATAAATTAGAACTTGTTCACACTTATTGCAACAGTGCCTACTTGCAAATGTCTGCTCTCGTGTCCCTGGGTTATATATTGACCTGTGTTTCTTACACGTGTAAACCTTAAAGAAGCCTCTGCATATAAAGAAACCTGTTAAGCTTGTTATTTTAGTTGAGCAAAATTTTATTTTTCTGAAGCAACATTTTGCATGGAGCATCATTTACTAGTTGATTTGGAAATGCCAGTATGAAGTATAGTAGCTAGCAGACAGTTAAAAAAAAAGTCCAAAAACTATTTTATATGGGGTTTTATAGACCTTGTGAAATTAAAATTGGAACTATTTTTTTGTTTTCCTGTCTTGAAAAAGGAACTTTTGTGGCATTATTTTCAGTGATAAGCACATGCAAATGTAGTGCTTTGTTAAATGTATTTTCAACCCTTCCTTCTCTTCCCCCCCATCAATCTGGTAGCTGCAGCAAAGTTGAGCTAAATAAACTAATGCTTTCATAGTCACTTAAGATGACCATTTAGGGACATCTGAAATTATGTGGAGTTGAATTATAGCCCCTTAAGGTTGTTGTTCAGCTAGCTTTTTGTGCTTTCCGTAGTATTGTCTGTGTGAATAGCATAGTTTCTGAAGTAATTTATCTGATACAGAGTCCTGGTTAATTAATCTGAAATGAAATAGCACAGCTGGAATTTCATGGCTGTGTTAGGAAGGGTAACGCTGGCTGCCTTGGGTTGGTACAGTTTGTTCTAGCACATTTTTAACCATAATCGCTATACCCTGGTAAATGATTTTGCTGGGTTGACAAAGGTGAACATGTCAGTCACATAACGGAGCTTCAGATCACTGTGATTGTTTAATGACCTCTTGGTTACAAGATTACTACACAAAGTAACATTTGGTACAGCAACTGAATGGTATGTTGAAATCAGAAATACATTATTTCAGTAGTGTTTGCTGTGAGTGAAACAGCCAAGTAAATCTCACTTGAACTAATCTTCCTTGATTTCATATTTTTAATAGGTCATTTCTTATCTGAATTCTAATATATTATGATTAACTGAAGAAAAAACAGGAAAAGAATGTTACTAATGCTTATGTCTAGACTGTGTTACTGCTGCTGCTGACAGCATTATTTAGTTTGTATCATCCTACATTGTTTTGATGTTATTCATTTAAGTATAAAAATGATGTGTTTAAGTGGTTTTCATTGGGCTCTCTTTAGTAAGTGCTGTCATCATTAAAACTTTTACCTTTCCCAGTCTACAGCTGCAGCAACGTTTTACTTGTGCACAGAACTGCATACATACGATTTGCCAAGGTCTGTTGAAAATCAAGAACTGAGAAACAAAACAAACTTACACTTTCTGTGTTTTAAGAGCTGGTATTTTGACACGAAGGGAGAAATCTTGGGATTGCTGTGACTGACATCTCTGCTTTTGTTTGACTTAAAGTACTGTGCTTTTTCAGATTAGAAGGCTTTTAAACACTTTTAATATGCTCGCGCCCTCTAGTGTCCCAGAGATTTTCTTTGCTTTGCCTGTGTTTTGTAGGGGCTTCTAGGGTAGTCAAATTGGTTAGTGCAGTGCTGTTGCATCAACGATTTATGTTAAGATACTAACCTTATTCTGAAACTTTATTCTGTGTTTTGGGAAGCATTAAAAGACCTTTATGGCAGGTAAAAAATAGAACATACTATATAATGACTTTTCCAGAAAATATTTAATAGCTTGGCTTTATATCAAGATAATAACAGTAAAAAAAAAATAAAAAAATATATATATATATTTCTGTTGGTTTTGATTGTCAAAGTACTCATCTGAAATAATTTCTAGCTTCATTAAGATGAATAGGAAGTATGTACGTATCTTCCACGGAAACTTTTAGAGAAAATTTGGACTCTGTCAATATAAACAACAAATAAGACTTGTTTTATAGATATGAAATATTTTTCTTTTAAACTTCCTTGATGTGGATGTGTTACAGAAATGTCAATTTTCTTTTAGCTTTAGAAACATAATTAATACTTTAATCCTACAGATAGTTACTCTAAAATAAACATTTCACTAAATTATCACTAACCTGTAAATCCAGGAAGAAGAGTATCCACCACGGGATGATTTCAGTGATGCAGATCAGCTTAGAGTGGGCAATGATGGCATCTTCATGTTGGCATTTTTCAGTAAGTTATCTTGTATCCCAGACCTACTGAGGTATATCTTAATTGTGCCTTTTTTCTATGGAATATAAAAGATAGCTGTGATAAACTGCATTAATGTACTGTAATGAATGGATTTTTTTACCTGTACACAGATACAAACACTTCCTGTTCCAGATGTAGCAAATATATTTCAGGTTTTTTCTTTGGCATCTGTCACAGATAAGGGGACAAAGCAAAATCATAATAAATGTTTTGAGATGTAGCAAGGCTGCATTGTTACCTATGAATTGGGAAATTTTGTCATCCTCTAGTTGGACTACCAACTTCAATTAAAGGCTGGATCGCAGAAATCTGGGAATTGATTGTTAAGTAGGAAATAAATTGAGAGAGAGATGATGTGCCGTATAAAAGTTGCTGATATTAGCATAGTGAATTAAATAGCTGTGGGTGGATTTTTGGAACAAATCCAACCATGCTTATTTTCAGGTTGGACTAACCAATAGCACATAGAAATGTACTGTCTTCAGGTCACGTCTGATTGCAACCAGCCCTACTATAGCACGTCTTCACGTACTGGTGTGCGCACTGTGCTTGTCTTGTACCTTAGGTACCGCAATGAGCAAAGTTAATTTAGTCACAGTAAGTTACTTCTAGAAAGTAACCGCTTCTGTTAATTTTCTTCAATTGCATATTTCCTTCTAATTTCTGAGGATGTTTTCCTTTTCTGAAATAAATGAGTTCGGCAACCTGGGTGGAAGCTTGGAGTTGGGGATGTAGCTGTTCTTTTTAACATTCATCAGTGTGAAAGCTGATTGATTATCCTCTGAAATCTCCTTTGTGTTTCAACCTTAATTCTCATCTTAGTTCCTTTTTCTTTAATGTCTTTCACAGTCTCTTTATTTAACTGTTACAGATGCTGTTACAGAACTTTCACAGAAGTTTTTTTCATGTTGCTGTATGATATATTAGGACAATGTGGTGTTTGCATCTTGGGATAAAAATACATGTGTCTACTTCACATAGCAAATATATAAATACTCATATAGGGTGACAAAGTGAGTTTTGTAGTGACCTCTTTCTGTAGTTGCACCTTAGAAAGAGTCTAAGTTCTTGGGTGCAAAGGAGGGTATGGCATCGTTTTTCTTTCTCCCTTTTCCCCCTTCCCTATGTGCTACAACTTTTTGTATTTAACCTGTTTAGATTCTGTACTGTGTGAACTTGTTCTTGCTTTTAAATCCTGGTTCAGGCCTTCATTAGCACTACACTTGGAGGTCAATTGGATTATTGGCTCTAATACGTCTTAAGTTCTTAAAATCACAGCTGAAAACAGATTTGTTAGCTTGCAGCTAGGAGCACAGCAGTAGTAAAAATCCTGCTAGGCAGAAGCTGAACTGGAATCAAAGGCTCTAGAAAAGCTCCGTTGATGCTCACATGCAGTTGGCCAAAACTACATGCCCAGAACCTTGTGTCCACCTTGAAGAATGTAGACATTTAGTTGGATAAACTGGCAACTTTCTCTTCAAATAACTGTTTAGCTGAAACTAACTGCACAGAACACTACTTCTATGCATTTGACAAAAATGCTCTATAAATAATATTTTTTCTTGATTATTCTGAGACTGTTTTACTGACAACTTTGCTCACCCATTAATGAAGTGCATAAAATAAGTGCTTACACATTGTAAGATATTTATGGAAGCATGTGTTTAATTGGGATCTGTCTTGGCTGTTATGGATACTGGTTACATATGGAAATTGATAGCGGTCACTTGTTTGTGTTCATAGGATGAGGAATTCACAAAAACTCAAAGCATTTATAGACTTGTAATGTTTTCAGTAGTTTTTCATAGGTGAATTGGAGAACTAAATGAAAAATGAGTTTAATAAGGTTTAATAAGGTTAGATCATAAATAATGGGTGTTGTATTCCTGTCCTTCTAATAATAAGAAAGAAATTTCCATAAAGTTGATATATGTAGATTTAAGACAGCATGAATTAAAATAAAATTTACAGTATGGCTCTCTTTTAGTGTTTTTTTTTTTTATTTTTTTTTATTTTTTTTTTTTTATTTTTCAGGGTGGGATGTGTTTAAACACTGCAAGTAGAGGTGTCAGATCACAGAGAGCCTAGAATAAGTTCCCTCACTTAGTTAAAATGCAGGAGAACAGTGTCAGGAACTGTTCTTTAGTGAGAGGAGCACTGAACCAATGGCTTGTTCCAGATGTGCTCTCCCACCTCCTCCTTTCACTGTTGTGTACAGAGTTGGTAGGAAGATCTTGTGGGGAGGGGAGTTGGGCTGACTCTGTTTTAACTATAAAACAGTGAATTTAGCGTTTTTAAATATAATTTTATTCAACTGAAGTGTAATAAACTTTTTACGGAGCTTACCTGCATATTACAGTCAGCTGGTGATATGCCGCTACCATCTAGTGGCAGCTGCCCAGGTTGCATGAAGTTGCTGCCTTGAGGACATCTAGTGCCCAGATCTGTTTGTTTGGGTTTTCTGTTTATTTTAGGAGCTTGGTGCATGCAACTTACAAACCTGTTTCCCATCTAAGTTGTAAAGAACTTTTTCTGTTTAGCATAACTAAATAGAATGAGACAATATACTGAAAAGAATAAAAGTCTTTTGCGTGCACGTACGGGTTTTTTTGCTTTAGCACTTGATTCAGAAACTTAGCGGAAAAATTTGGAAGACAACTTATGATTTTACCACATATTAGAAATAAAGTATGTTTTAAGAAATTGGTGTCTTAAGAAATTGGTGTTTTAAGAAATCTGTGATTATGTTGATGAGCAAAGAATCAATTCTTTAATGATCAGGGCTAATGTTTGTAAGTTTCTGATTTTGAGGTAAATGAATATATTAGTGAATATATTCAGTAGTAGTGAAAGTATTCATTTTGCTATGAATGCAAAATGCAGCAAATTTTGCTATCAGACCACTTAATGTATTTTTTTCTGTTATGTATTTTTAAGTCAACTGTGCCTTGTACAGCATAATAGAAACTTTTCAGAATGCCAGAGGAAGTTGTTGATAGGTAAGTTTCCCACAGAGATTTTTTAACTTTTTTTTTTTTTGTATGCACAAGGCAAAAGAGGAATTTGAGCTATTTCTTTCCATTTTGAACACAGATGTAATGGTGATAGAACAAGTAACTGTCATTACTCAAAGGAGTTGGTTTGCACGCTTAATCTGCCCATATTGGAAGTCATTTGATTCATGTCTGATTGGCTCATCTTGGTTCATTATGTGAAGGAGGTCGTTTTAGGCAATAATAAAAAGCTTATATGGGTTTCTCTTATATTTAAGGAGTGCTTTAGAGTTATCAACCAGCCTTTTCACTTGTTGGCCTCAGAAGGAATTGCAAAACTCATCTGGATTCTTTGAAACCATGAAAGGGAGTTTTGAGTTGTCTCGACAACCTAGGAAAAATGAATATTAATTTGAACCTCACAGATGGGTTAATGAGGAGAATGAAATGAAGAAAAGTGCTTGATCATATGGCTGAAATTTAAGTTCTCATATAGACATGTGGTTTGTTCTTTTTGAACACCACTAATAAAATCTCATGATGTGGAGAAATTTAAGTGTACGTATTGTCCCAGATGCTGTATTGAAACAGTAATAACCATACCAAAATTCTGTAAACTCATGTTCATTCAGTTTTCAAAGCTATTAGATGTTTATTAGTCAATAAACTACTCACAAGCTAGAATATCTGCTTTAGGGATTTCAAGCAGGCACAAGTTGGAGGGCAGAGTTGTAACACAAGCTCAGGGTGAGTGCAGCCTCCTGTTGAATGCTTCCCCAGGAGTGGTAAGCATGGGCTAAATTTCCAGTGGGAGGATTCTGTTGTGTGAATTTAGGAAACCTGACTTCTGTATGTCCACATCACAAATGTTATGCAGATTTCCCTTAGTCATGCAGGAGAAGCTGAGGGGAAGTAGTTTGACTGAAATTGCAAATGTTGGAAAGAGATAAGGGAACTGTTTTCGGACTCCTTATTCCTGTCTGGTTGTTAGAGGAGCCTGGCTGACCATCATGCACAGTCACCTAGCCTCTTTCTTAATGTAGAAAGAATTTGACTTACAGGGTTTCTCCATATGTGTTGGATGTAATACATAATAATTAGAATGAGGAACCTACTAGTTGGACATTAAGAAAAATTTACCAAGAAGGGTAATGAAGCAGTAGAAAAATTGCTTAGGGAAGTTTTTGAACATTCATCACTGAGTAGAAAAAAAATAAAAATTAAAATTGTCTGTTGAAGTTGGTGTCAAATGTTTGTAGAGATCATCATCAGGCTTCAAGTGAGCCCTTCAGGAAGGAGCAAAAATGTGTCCCCGTTCAAGAATGGAATAAATTCTGTGCAGGAATGGGAAGAATAATTCCTAGTTGTGTGTAAAGATCTGACAAGTATTATTTATTGCACTGTGTTTAGTAACTTGGGCCAGGTATGAAACCTTAAGCTCTTGGGTGTTTGCTGTATATTAAAATAGTAAGTCATTGGACAAATAAATTCAGGAATAAAAAATGTAACTGAGCATGTTTGCTTTTTGTATTTGGAACCTACACAGGTCTTCAGACCAGTCTTGCTGGCTTCTTTTCATGATACCTAATATAAACTTAAGACTGGTGATTGAGGTGATTAATGTGTAGCTGTGGAAAGCTGAGTAAAAAAGATCAGCAAGTGAAGTGCAAGAACAATTGAGGAAAAAGCAGATTTGTTCTAGTATGCCTGTCATTATTGTTGCATCTTCTGATGTGTTGCAACTCAAAACCTTTGCACAAGATTGCTTAGTAACTTGAAAACCTAACTTTTGTTTACTGTAAATTGTGAGAATAGAATGAAAGGATATGTCAGTACTGCTTTGCAACTTAATGAGCACTGACAAAAAGCAAGCATGGATTAATCAATTCATAATGACAAAGTACAGCTTAATACATCATCTTTGCCTTGCCACTGTAGTTATCAGAGAATGAAGAATGGCAATGGATACAAGCCTGTTTGTTAATTTGTTGTATTATTTTACTCCACCTTCTTTAGAATTGGTGATAGATAAAAGACTTTTGATTTCTAACTTCAGTTTTTGACATAAAAAATCCTTTGCTGACCACTACCCCTCAGAAGAGGGCTTTGGGTGTGAAAATAGCTGATGGATAGCCTTATTTTACATGTCTGATTTTAAGACCTTTACCACATTTAGAACATCCTGTGCTTTGTATTTCAGCTGGGATTGTTTTATTGCAAGCCATAAACAGAAACAGAAGTACAACATTAATTGTTATGGGCGCTATATTGGATATCAAGAAGACTTTTTATTAAAAAAGACCTTCAGTCCAACCCTCCTCCTCACAAAAATCACCTTCTTATCTGATTTTCATTATGGGTTTTGTTGTCATGAGGAAATAACTCTTAACATTTTTAGGAATGGCTTTCTTCTTTATGATAGCTTGTATTAGTGTCAGATCAGGAACATTGTCTCTGTGAGAATATCGTGGGAAGCTGAAGTGGTATGAAGGATAAGGTCATCTCTTTAACTGCTGAGCAGTGTCATTTAGACCTCGCAAAGTGAGAGGATACAGGCAAATAGTGGAGGACTGCATTTGTTGTAGCAAGAAGCTCATACAATGACTTAGTTGTCTCTATTTAGTAGATGGAGAAGGAAGTAGATACATCTAGGGAAAATAGTAGATGCTTCCTTTTACTGGTCTCTCCCATCACCATTATATTTTCTCTCTTAGCTTGGTGGAGAAACATGTGCTGTGGCTTCTCTATGGCATTATAAGGATGAAAATTATGGAGAACTTTTATTGCAATAATTAGATGAGGCAGTAATTATACAGAAAATGTTAGTAACTCGTACCAGATGCAGCACAGGCCACAAAGCTCTGACAACTTGCATGACTGGCAGAGGGTATACATGGAAAAAAACATCGTGCAAAAAAATACAGATAGAGAGATGAGGCTAAGAGAAAAACAATTGGAGTACAGATAAAAATCTCATTTTTTGCACTCTACTCAGAAGCTGGAGATGCACTTCTGAAAGGAAATAATGCATTTTGTAACCAGCATGAGACAACGAAGATGATTTTAGGTGTACCTATGGGACACTGGGGAGGCGAGAGAGAAGCAAGTGGGAAAGATTGAAAACACATAGATTATTATTTTCTTAAATTTGTTAAAATTATGAAGCACCAAGGCAACGTTGGGAGAGTCTCCCTAATATGTTGCCTAGGTTTTGCAGAGGTGGAGGTAATAAGTTCCTAATACTGCTGAAGACAGGGAATTTTGATGAGGCCCTCACTGCAGAATTTTTCTAGTGGATGGTTACAGAAGCAACTTAAATAGTGAGATTTTTCTTCTGCATGTAGTTCAGTTTTATGGGGATGTATGAACTTGCATAGCTTACAAATTTTGTATAGTTTATGCCTTTTCTTTCCTGCTTGCATTGTCTGCTTATATAACTTGATGGAACGGCACACTGGTTAAAGGGAAAAAAGCTATTGTGAACACTGGAACATGCTGATGCCTTTTCTTTCAGGAGTTGGGCAAACAACTCGGTGTTAAATATCTACCTAATACTCATTCAGTGGCTGTAGATTCTATTTTGAATGTTGCTTTAGGTCAAATTGAAAGGAGGGTAAAATTGACTCTCTGTTCAACTTTGATTATAAGAACTATTTTTTTCCCCCCCCCCTCCTATATTTTTGATTGGGAAATCTCTGATTTTTATAACGCATGTACAAATTAATTCAGGTGTTATAAAAATCCTTGGGTTTTTTAATAAATGCCTATTAAAATTTTAAGTATTCTGGGAATTCATCTAACAGTCTGCATAGTCCATTAAAAGCATGTCTATCTTGCCTCCTTTTTAGCATGCCTTTCTTTGTAGCCACGATCGAAGTCACCCTTTGTAGCCTGAGCAGTGGGGAGAAAGGAGAGAGCAGTAAGTTGTTAGGCTGAGACAGGAACAGACATGTTGAAGAGCTAGCTTCTGAAATCTGTTACTCTTAAAACGATGATGGATTTGAAGAGCTTGCTTGAAATAGGGATGTCCTGTTTTCAAAACAATGTATCTAAGCTTTCTCAAATGTAACTGTTTTTCTTCTGTTTTGGAAAGATAAGTAAATGTTAGGGTCACAGTGTTGTAATAGAAATGCTCTCTCTTTTGCTTCCTTGTGTATACCAATTTGGATAGCTTTTATTCAAAGTTGTTTGTTGTGTTTTCTGATGGGTTTTTGTTGTTGTGGGTGGGGTTTGGGTTTTTTTGTTTTGTTTTTTTGTGGGGTTTTTTTTTGAAGATTATTCATTAGTGTAAAAGTAAGCTTTCTCATTGCCACCACCTGTATCCTATGACTCTGTCCACGAGAAGATGTTTTCTCACTTGTACAAAATGTCTGTGTTGATGTAAAGTCTTCCAAACCTTCTCCTGGAACTTTAGTTTCTTTACAGTTCTTGGAATCTCACTGAAGGTTTACAAACTAATTTTGCATTTGTAGGCAAGCCATTGCCGCTTAATGCGGATTGTTGGAGGAGTTGTAACAAGGTTTTAAATTACAAAAAAAGTGGCTGTTTATAGATAATCCTCCCAATTTAACTTTTATTTAAGAAAACCATTGACCAATTTTCTGTTCCTAATATTTTGCTATAGGTGTTCAAACTTCTACTGAAAAGACAGACTTTTTTTGTTTGCGGTGATTTAATGTCTGAATTTTATGTGGGTTTTGTTTTTTTCATAAGTTTGGAGATTTAATACATTAAGGATTTG